ACAAATTCTAAAACTATTTTGAAAGCGTAAGAGAAATAATCCATATCCAAACATGAAAATGCAACAGCAACATTATCTTCAAGTGTGCAATTTGATTATTAAATATAACTAATCTTGTAAATAATTTGTCAACCCCCACCCCCATAAATTAAAAGTAAATATGTTAAGCACCCCAAATTTCACTCAATAATTGCCATCTCTCAAAGTGCCTTATAATTTATGTAAGCAAACAGATTCAATAAGACTGTCTGCAGATTAGACATTTTTGAGTTAGAGACATTTTCTCTCCAAAAGGAATAATTTTCATGACAAACTTCATGTAGCAGCCTAAGGCAAAGTAAAAATAATTAATTATACGTAGTTGTCAGTTCTAATCAGTGATAATCAACATACAGTTTTCATTTTTAATAAACGATTGTTCTATTTTTGTGGAATTACATTTTTATTTAGTATGCATTCCAGATTCAAGTTATTATGAAGAAAATTAAGCAAAAAAAAAAAAAAAAAAAAAAAAAAAATGGAGGGAATTTTATTTAACATTATATTAGGTAAAATAGCAATTAACCCTATTTTATCAAAATATGAACTTAAAAGCAACATAACCCATGAGTTTCAATTACACACTATTATAGATATATATTTTATTAATTCTAAAATGAATGAATGAGTGCAATTAAGAATCGTTATTGTGTAGCCATATTTTTTAAATATTTTTCAGTTAAACTTTTAAAACAATGAGGAGACGCTTTCAGATGTTTAAATTTAAAAAGTGATTAACTAATAAGAAGGTATTGCCATTAATATTTATTTTAAATTAATTGCAATGTAAAATATGATAGAAAAATATACATCATAATAAATTGTGAGTTATGAAAATTTATGACAAGTGACAATGGATAAGCAGAAAACGGTTAAAATCACACACACAAACGTGCGTGTGTAAGAATACACATATATAGCAGCCATAGAAAGAAATAATTTCATTTTTTGGTTATTTAACGAATTAAAGGAGTATCTGGAAGAAAGGTTAGCATTTTTGCTAGCACCCAATTTATACACCATGCAACAGTAATAATATTCACACTTAACAGGTTTTATAATAATGAGTTGTTCTGCAATCAGAAATACATTTGTTACATTTTCAATGCTTAATTTATAATTAAGATTCATTTACTTATTTTTCTGCAGAAAAAAGCATTTCTTTGTGAAATAAAATAACAGCAAAATTTAGAATCAATTTTTCTAATACGACGAAATATAGCTTAGAGGAGGGGGAAATGAGAGAGAAAATAATCAGAAAGGGAGAGAGTATGTGTGTGCGTAAAGAAAAATGACAAGGCAATAAGAGAGGGAGGATGAGGAGTAAGATAGAAAGGAAAGAGGTGATAGAGAGTGGGGGAGATACAAAAGTAATGGATATTCCATTTTGATATATAGATAATATATTCAAAGACGGGAATATGACAGAAAAGAGTAAAAAAGGTTCAGCACAGAGCAAGGATCAACACTGAAAATAAAAGTTGTACATATATACACGAGTTACTTCCTCTGTGAATGTTTGAAAGAAATTATTTTTCTGTCTTATTAAATCTGATTTTTTTCCATTTCGTCTTTTCCAGAAATGTATCTCTGATGGCCAAACAACTGATTATTATAATGAATTGTTTAGAAATGGAACAGGCTATGTACATCCTAGCTCAAGAAGAAAGAGTTCACATTTATTATTTTTGATTTTGAGGAAATTTATGGGTGTTGTAAAAGAAAAGTATATAATTATATTTTTTTTAAAAAATCAGCAAAAACAAACTTGAATGACTAATTCATTGATATACGATCTAACAACTTGTTACAAAATTTGTTTGTTTGTCAAAAGGGTTAAAGAAAGAAAGGTCGAATAAAAGAGGGAAAAAAACAGAATGACTAGAAAGAGAAGAGAAATGAATAATAAAACTGTCAGAGTGGGGGCAATTTCTTGCGAGTGTCGTCACCAAGTGAATCTTGAACATTTTCTCATTATGTATTCTACTTTTAACTATAAGCGAAAATCTTATAAAAAGACATTTATAGCTGTATGTACATTAAACACTACACATTTTTTTTAATCATAACATTTCAATAAATATCTATTTTTAAAAAGGAATAATAAAGGGGTCAGCGATTTTTCCAAATTGCTTTAAGCCAGGTAGGATCAAGCCAAGTAGGTAGGTGGCTGGGTGATTTTAAATTTACTTAACGGTCAAGCCTTTTTCTTCAAATGGACTTTATCGATTTATTTAATTTCATCAGATATCGAATGGATTTAACGCTAAATCCATAGTACACTACCTTTAACAAGTGACTAGTATTAAATTTCAGGCTAATTTTTGTTCTTCCCTTTCCATTCTATTGAGAGGGTAAAAGGAATCTCAAAAAAAAAAAAAAAAAAAAAAGACGAGAGATACATTTTTTTCACCTTAATTACGAAGGTACGTAATTTTAAATGCTTGTCGACAATTTTACACATTTTCTTTCTTTTTAAGAGATAAAAACTAGGGTGTGTTTTTAATCTAATTTAAAATGCCTACTAGGAAAAAAAAAGAGGAATTCTACAGGAAACATAAAAAATAAAAGATAAATTAATATTGCATAATAATAATAATTATGCAGCAAAACATTTTTAATCCAAAGGATAAAAAACATTGTCATAGCAACAGCTAAAAATTGTTTGGTGAGATTACAAACCAAATTAGATTTTTTTTTATTATTTCGATTTTAAACAAATACGGAATCAAAAGTACAAATAAATTATTTACAAAAAAAAGTTGATTTTTAAATAATAGGTCAAGTAGCTAAGGTCCTTAACTTAAGGTAAAGGACAAATAAATCATTAAATGAAAAGTACAAGTAAATTAAATATCAGGAAGCTTTAAAAATGAAAAAAAAAAAAGGGAGGAAATAGCGAGTTGAATTTAAAAAATAAAAAGTAAATGTTCTAAAATACTCTACCAAGAAGAGAGAATAAAGAAAGAGGAAATGATTCTAACAACCTGACTGATGATTAAAAAGATGATATTTTGTTAGGGAATAAAAACGACTCCAGGAAGTTTGTTTACGGAAATATGACAGATTCTTCTTAGTTGTTTATTTCTTTTTACGAAATTCAAGAAAAAAAAATATGATTTAAAAAAAAAAAAAAAAAAGAAAACAATTAAATGAATTAAAAACATTTTAGTAGAAACATAAGCAGAATTATAATCTCTCTACTTTCTTTATTCTTTCTCTCTTCTACGTTGTGGGCGACAAGAAAAGGCTAAAAACCAACCATTTGATTCACTCCATTGACGACGGAGGTGATATTATTATTGTTATTACCATTATTATTTCTATAAAGAAAATGACAGTAAATATGACAGACAGGCATCTAAAAGGAATTTATTATATTGAAATAACGATTCAGATTTTATTCAAGAAGTGTTTAATTAAAAACGAGGATGGCTAATATTGATATATTCAGTGGTATTTGATAACCTCCGCGGTTTAATAAAAAAAATAAAGGGGACAATGTTTTAATGAATGTTAATATTTTCATTCTCGATGTATGCAAAGAAAAACAGCTATGGTGACTTCATTTGAAATTTATACTTCCTGTCATTTAATTTATTTATTTATTTTCCAAGTAAACATTACTTTCTGGTGGCTACTTAAGTACGAGAATAGAGATGAACCACTAACAAAAAACAATCTTTATCATTATGAAGAATACATTATGAAGGATTTTACAAGGGATCTTTACGTAAAGCACTTTGACTTTATGGTTATTATTATTGTTATTATTATTATTATATAACCAACAATGACCAACTGTAGCTACTGAAGGGTAGTGACGGACATACCTTTTTTAAGGGGGTTGTTAAGCGTAGGTAAAAAAAAAAAAACAGGGGTCACCTGCTTGATGGCAGTATAAGAAAAAATGCCATATTGTATACACCTACTATAACTACTATTATCGTCAATTTAAAGAGTAGGAGGTGGCCATCTCTGTACATACACACAATGTGTATGCAAGAAACATGAAGGAAGAGTTTATGTACTGAGAAAGTATGAAGATGACAAGCAACTACCACTTCCAGGTGTGAAATGCATACAAAGGTGACACATAAAAAAGAAAACAATAAAAAAAACTGCCATTTTTTTTCAAAATAAAGTCAATTAACAACAAACTTTTTTATCATCAGATCTAGGGATCCAATTCTGCTTTCGCTTCACCCCCCCCTCGTTATCTTTTCTTAATATTGTTTTTTTAGTTTTTTTTTATCATTATCATGGACACTTTTTTTTTTACTATTACTACTATTTCTCTTCTTTCTTTTTTTTTATAGTGGTGTTAAATTACCAATTTTGTTCTACTATTTCAATAATTATTTTCGACATTTCCATGAACGAATGAACACTGACCAACGACATAAATTAAAAATCTACCACTTCCACATATTACTTTGTTGATAACACACCCCCTTCCCTCTTTATAAATTAAATACGATTAAAATCTACACTTCCCAACTTAAAATGACTTTACAGTGATAAAAAAAAAGATAATTAAAACACAAATATTGCAGCTTTTAAGGAAATGATGCATTCTTGACTGTCTAATTTAATATTATCGTTATTTACATACAATAAAAATGCCTGAGATTATTGGGGAAGGGGTTCTTCTACACTTCCTTATCAAAAATATGACTACAGACAGCACAATATTTACAATGACAAATATAGTCGGATGAGAAAATAATTTTTTCTTTTTTTCTGGGGGGAATTTTTCCTTTTTTTTAAGGGAACTAGTCTCTGGTTTAGATTTAAATTTTTTATCAATATACAATTTTAAGGCATTATTATTATCACTTCCTTTTCTTAGGGGGTATATAAATACAAACCTACCAGGTAGATCTCGAGTAGTTTGTACAGAGCCTGCTCAAACTTAGGTGTCTAATCATTTTTATTTTAATAACAAACAGTGCACCTACCTTCAGCCCATGTCGGAGAAAACAGGGCCGCCAAAATAATCAGAAATCGCCACTGCAGCCTCATAACTACAACATCAGTGACCTGGACACGTTACCTAGAAGAAAAACATGAAATATAAAAGGATATGTTTTACCACAGGGCAGCCGGCAGGCGATCAACTCGACGAAGGGGCGACTTGATTGTTTTTTCACCCGGGTAGTTGAACGGGTATCCTAGGTACTCCATCCAGTAGACTGTGCATCATCATATCATCCACCCGATCTGTTTCGGACACGGTAAAGCAATCCCCCCAAAGGTCGGTCCGACGACCAACTGTTATCAAAAAAACAGATGATGGTTGCTAGTATGTAACAGGGCAGCTGAAGAAACAGAAGGGTTTAGTTGAGCGAGAACTACAGCAGATCAGCTCCTCCATTTCTTGCCATCCACTTTTACAAACAGTTAGTAAATGTCATTCTTCTCCTCTTCTTCTCTCCGATTGTTCATCATTACAGATGAATGGCCATGTGACTAATAATTGCTATTATGGTCTCTCACAGCCATCCAATCAAAGATTGTCTTTCAGACTACTGGCAATCTGTTGCCAACGACCAAGAGCGCCATTGTCTGCAGAGACACAGGCTTCACTTTCAAATACTGGAAAAGCTTTTCTCCCTTTTGAAATAATAACTGAAACACCGACGGAGAGGGTGTGAGAAATATGGTGGTTGCCTTTTGCAAAAGACGGAAGAGAGAGCAAGCGTGTGAGCGTACGTGTGAGATGGACGAAATCGAATGGAGCAGCAAGAGAGGTGGGGTGGAAAAACAATTTGTGCGAGTGAGGGGGAAGGGAATAAAAGCTTGAACAAATGTATAGGGGTGGGAGGGAAGTTTGTGAGTTGTTGGTTAAGATATGGAGTGGGTTGTTAAGGGAAAGAAATTGTAAGGACAATAAGAGAGGAGAAGAGTGGAAATATGGACATAAAGTGAGATAAGAAGGAGAAATGGAAGAGAAAGAATAGAGGAGAAAAGTTGAAAAAGAGGGACAGAGAGGAAGTGTAGAAAAAAAGGTGGAGTTAAAGAGATTCAAGATACAAAGGGAGAGAAAGACAAGTATTAAATCGAAGAGAATGAAAGGGTAAAACAATTAATCTCTAGCAGAGGGGAACAAAGAGGTGGATAGATAGATAGGTAGGTAGATGTAAAGAGAGGGAGTCGTTATCTTTCTATTATAGTAGTTGGCAAACATGTCGACTGCTATTTCGAACTATATTGGCACGTGAACGATGTTTGACATGAATTTGCAATCTCTCTCTCCTACTAAGCTCACCTGAGGAACACGTTTTTACCTAACAGGTAGGGATTTTCCAATTTTTAGAGAAGAACCTTATGTCAATGTATAAATCGACTGAAAGCGGGGAACAAAATCTTTATTTTTCCTTATCCACGTTTTCAGGTGGTCATAGTAAAAAAGCATCATGGAAATGTTTTCATTGTCAAAAGGCAACAACACAAAATAATCAGGTAAAAATTTTGAAAAATAATTTCACGGTCTTGTTAAAATACTATTAATCATTATTATCACAATTGTTATTTAACCCACAAGAAAAAGTTATATTTAAAATGGCTTGAAATAAAATGTATTGAATTGAAATAATTTTTTTTAAAGAAATTACAATATATGATACATTTCTTTCTTAAATTGATCCAGAAATACTGAAACATCATTTTCTTATATTGAATTTCATTTTTATAAAGCAAAGAAAGTTTAAAGCAATAACAATTCAAGCACTTTTAATAGAATATTTTTACAAACTTTTTCTTACAGTTTCATTATGAGTTTGAAAAAAAACACAGTCAATACAAAAAATTATTATGAAAAAAACAATACAAATATCTAAGTTAAGATAGTTTACATATGTTTATTAAAGAAATCACAAGTGTTTATATGAAACATGAAAAGTAAATAATATTAACAGAAAAATAATTTAAATATAAAAATGTTTTTAAAACTGCTATGCTAACATTAAAGAAAATAATTCTTACTTAATATTTAAATAAAACTGAAGACAAAAAAAAGCAATGCATTTAAAATATTGTACAATATTTCATGTAAACAATAACCAAATCTAATTTTGATTCAGTTTGTATTTTAGTTCTTTTCAAACTGTATCTCTACAACAGTATTGGAAATAGATGGAGGTTTATAAAAATGATGTGCATTTGATTCAATTCTGCAAGATTATGTTGCAGAAGTTTAATAAAAGAAACTGAAAAGTAAAATGAACAAGATCCTATTTCAAAAGTTGCCTTCCTTGAATGAACTCAAAATATTGCTAAGGACCATACTGAAAGAAATATTATTGATGATTGTCTGTACTACTTGTTCCCTATTTAAAAACAAAAAGAGAAAAAAGCTCTGAAATTGCGCAGATAATAAGCGCCAACAAGAAACTGGTGGACCATTAGACAAATAGGAAAAGAAGACTCAACACAAATTTATTGACTTTAAAAAAATGAATGTAAAGATTCTTTCACAACTGAATATTTTCTTTTTATTCAGATGTCATACTTAGGAGGCCAGATGGAATCATTATTAGATTTAAAAATAATAAATGACTGCAGGTAAGAATTGTGAAAGAAAAGAAACAGTAAAATTTATGTTTAGCCATATGATGATAAGGATGCTGATACAGAATCGAACCATCCTACTTAGAATTGTAATGAAACCTTAAAAACATCATTTATACTAATTATTTATTCTATAAATACTTCAAGGACTATTCTTAGATTATTTAATACAATTGAATAGAAGGTTACAAAAATATACAATTTTTTTTGTATAGTATCCATGGAAGTAGGAAATTTGTGACATCAATTATGAAATTTTGATTAACTTTTCTTTCTAATTGTATTTTATAAATTATAGTTAAATTTTGTTGGTGTCATATTTAATTTATTAAAGCATCAAATTGCTTCTGCAATATTCATTATAATCATGAATAAATGCTGCTAAAATACTTTTTAGGCTTTACAATACTTGAATGAAAGATTTTATGACTAAATATATGTGGCATAGAATAAATTTATTTCAGTAACAATTACATTTTACAAACTCATGATGCCACAATTGTTAATCTGAATTTAATTGAACTGTAAAGTGGTGGAAATGATAATTATTTAAAAAGAATGATTAATAACTTTGGCCTTAAGAGTAATTTATACTTCATATCAGTAATTTGGATATACAGTATTTCCCATGATAGAATATGCACATTTTTTCCAGAAATCCTCTAAAAAGTCACCTTATGTCTTATAACCTAATGGTTGGGTTACCAGTACTAGAATAACCTCTAAATACCCCTATTTGACACACTAATCCCTTACTGACCCCAGAATAAAATATATATGATTATAAATTATAAAATTATGATTATAAATGAAAATAATGTTAAAATATAATGCAAAAAATCTCTATATAAGAATGAGTGAATCCTCAGTTTATTATTATTATTATTTTCCTAAATATTCCTTATCAAATTCGGTGTGTGCTATAGGTCAATAGATGTTGTATGGCAGAAGATCTGGTTAAATTAGTGAAAAAAGGCATAAGAGAAAAAAAATAAAAATATTAGTATCTGTTCATAGATGCCTAATCAATTATATTATTATTACAGAGATAAAAAAAATAAAAAATTAACTAAGTTTTTCATATATCTTTTATTGCTTTGTGATCAGAAAACTCTTATTCAGTTATCTTAATATTATATAACAAATCAGCAGTGAAATTTTAAAAATCTTGGAAAATTATTCTTTGGAATTAAAAATCCATGTTATGTTACCTGAAAATAATCAGTAATGTGATGTTTTTTGCATACAAAAGTTTTACTTGTCCAAATCTTTCTACAAGTCAACTATTTTTAAAATATTCTGATACTAATAACCCCACTGGAATAATTTTGTTTTCCAAAGTTTATTGCCAAAACCAAAACAAAATTAGATTTTCTTTTCATTCACATATCTTTTTTTGTAATCATATGAGTTTATTCAGCCTATATTTTTTACCTTTGTTGTCTTTTATCACAATAGCAAAGACAAAGAACTTAGTCTCAATGGATAAAGATATAATAATTATAAAAATTAATCTAAAAAATTCGAACAAAAATTATTTGATTAAATAGTCTTAACCTTAGAGTCTTATCTTTGAATTATAAGATTTTGGTCCTTAATAAATATATTATCAAGAACTTTTTGCAAGATTCAATAATGTATTTATGGATAAATATATTTTTCCCCCAAAATTCAGATTCCAATATTGCCTTAACAAAATAATATCTCCTATTACTGGCAATATCTTATTTAATTATATTTTGCCTAAAATATTTTAATGTCCTTAGCTGTGTTTGCCAAAAGACAATCATAATGAACTGCATTGTTTGATTTTAAGATAAATGTAAGTTCATCTTACAAGATGGATACATTGAATCACATTCTTACAATTGACCTAAAAAGCACCTGAAATTGCTTGCTTTCTCATGTATATGGCTTCAATAGTATTTTAATGTTTGAATTGTTGAAAATTTAGAGATGAAGTATTATCATTCATTGAATTTTGGTGAAAGTGGTTCTTTTTTTCTCCATCAACCATCATGGTATAGCAGTGATGAAACATTTTGTCAAGATATCTGACAATGAGATAAAGTACAAGAAATGGTTTCATGCAGTCACTAAGAGTAATTGTGTAAAATGAATATAACTGTCACCAAAATTGAACTAGGTCCACTAATTTTATTTTCTTTACTAGTCACTGTTATGCCAACATACACCTGTCAATGTACATGAAAAAAAGTATGGCTGCCTTTGAGACTTGGTTATCACCAAGTTTTCTTGACAAGAATCTTTACAAAAAAGACAAAACAGAACATTTTTTCTATCAAAATCTATGTGTCAAGGAGTTATCAATACTTACATTAATTACATTAAGACTAATGTCTTCATCTTTGTTGTTAATATCACAACAATTCCACCATTGTGCCCTCCAACTTTCTTCAGGTGTGTCAATCTAAATAACCCTCAAAGAATTT